GCCATGAGCTATTTTTTTCCAAAGGAAGCTGAAATAGATTGGAGAAAAAATAGTCCAGCTTTCCAAAGCAGAATCTCATGGGCTTTCAGTCCACACTGTGTAAATAAATGATTTGCGTTGTAGCTCCCAAGAAGAGAAAAAAGTAAACAGGAACCAGCTGCTTCTCTCTGAGAATAGAGGCACACCTGGTTTTATTTGTGTTGTTACCAATGATTTATTAGATGTGCCGAGGTACTAATAATACTTGGGGCAGTGGTCCTCAAACCTTGTTGAACAGTGGAGAGAATTCCAATTTATAGTTAAGAAATATTAATGGGGTCCCTACCCCTCAACTATCCAAATACAGTTGATACAGGGAGGAACATAAATATTGGGTATATAGAAAAAAATATTGTGGTTTGAGTGACAGTTTGAAGCAAGGTGATTTTCCATTCAAGGATTCATACACATTGTTTTGCAACCTTGATCACAATCTCCGTGTTGTGACAGCTTTCTTTCTATTTCCCATCTGTATTTCCCTGTTTTCCATGTTTGCTTCTTTCCCTGTCTTCTGAATTTTATCCCTGGGCAGATGCTGCCCTTTTGATCTTGTATGGATGGGTGCCCTAAGAGCTCTTATGCTTTGTTACTGGCCGCAATATAGGCCAAGCAATATTCATGTACTGTTTGGCTGTAAGTTGATTCCTGGGGTGATTTCAGCACTAGGCTTGAAGAGTGACTAAAGGCCACGAATATGGGACTTTAGAATTTGTGAGAAACAAAATAAATATAAGAAACTTGTGACATTCAAAACTAAGTTGTTCATAATCACAAAGTAAATGTATCCCTGTATCCCTCCAAAAAAAGGAATGCTTCCTAGGTAATGTAAAATGGTTAAACACAACACTACTAACTGAAAGATTGGAAGTTCAAAGCCACTCAAAGGCGCTTCGAAAGAAAGACCATTAGGTCTGCTTCCAAAAGGTAAGTCACAGCCTACGGAGCATAGTCTTACTTTGTAACGTGGGGTTGCTATGAGATAGAATGGGCTTGAGAGTATTGATTTAGGGATTTTGGTGTGCATGAAGTTTGAGAACTACTTATATTTCTGGCTAGTTTGGTAATATCCCAAAAGAGACATTCATGAGTTTACCTATTCTTTTCATTAGTGTTCTAATAAAATGTCCACAAAATAGTGACTGCTTTCAGTCCATTTTTCTTTAAGCTGTAGTAAATTCATTCTGTGTTGTGAGTTGATAATGTCCATCTGTGTAATAAAGTTACTTTTCCTACACTTCTTATTGATAAATTCACCACTTCTTTTAGTGGGTTTTGGAGAAAGATGGACATTCCCTTCCTTCCATGCAATTTACAGCCTCGTAAACCTGCTGGAGGGTCAACTATGAGTCCGTTTTGACTCAGTCTCAATGAGCCTGGTAATTAGGCTTTTTGGTTATTTTGGGGATTGGAGGGGAGTTATAGGTAATTATAGATAATTTTGTTCCTGAACAAAAAGTAGCCAAACTAATATTGAAATTTCTATGTCAAAGTGTCTTAGACTGGGTTCCCCTAGAAGCAGATCTTGTGGAAAAGATTTGGGACCGAGCCTTTGGTATGGACTGCATCTCAGTATCAGGAAAACAAAGATTCTTACCACGGGACTGATAGACATAATCATGATGGATGGAGAGGAGATTGAAACGTAACAGCTTCATCTTGCTTGGATCCACAGTTAACATCCTTAGTACCAGCAGGCAGGAAGTAAGGAGACCGATTGCACTGGGAAAATCTGCAGTTAGGGACCTCTCTAAATTATTGATGAGTAATGATGTTGGTTTGAGGACTAAGGTGTATCTGATTCAGGCCATAGTTTTTAATCACTTGCTATGCATCCAAGACCAGGACAATGAATAAGGATGGCAGAAAAAGAATTGATGCCTTTGAGCTGTGGTGTTGGAGACGAGCACTATAACATCCATCCTATGGATGGCCAGGAGAACAAACAGATTCACATGGACAGGATGCATCTGGAGTGCTCTTTGGAGGCAAGAATGATGAGTTTTTATCTCACATACTTCAGGCATGTTGCTAGAAGGGGCTATTCCTTGGGGAAGGACATGATGCTGGGAAGAGTGGAGGGTCAGTGTGGGAGAGAAAGACTCTCAACCAGGTGGATTGACACAGTGACTGCTGCAATGGGCACTTGTGTGTGAGGAAGTGTGAGGACGGTGCAGGATAGAAGAAAGTTCAGATCTTTTGTTCATAGGGTCTCTATGAGGCATACTTGACAGCACCTAACAACAACAAGTTTCATTTACATGTTTCTAGGAGAGGCTATTCTTTGAAGAGGGATGTATGCTTGGAAAGGTGGAGGGTCAGCAAAAGAGAGGAAGATCCTCAATGACATTCACTGACCCAGTAACTGCAGCAACGTGCTCAGGTGTGTCAGAAATTATAAGGATGGCACAGCATAGGGTACCGGATCAGGGCTCAGCTTGTCGTTCATAGTGCTGTTAGAAGTTGTATCTAGGGCACCTAATAACAACAACTTAAGTGGCCATGATCCCAGGAAGTGTCTGTCAGCAGGGGAGTAGGGACATGAAATTGGAAAAGAAAAGAAACCAACTATGGACTAAAACACACTGAGGACCCTGGGAGGTTGTGAAAAGCTTGACTCGTGGTTGTCCCACCTGAGGAACAAGGAAGCTGGACATTTATCTACCAATTTCACCCATCATTGGATATTTATCTCCCATTTTCACTCCTTCCTGAATGAGAGCTGCTTCATTAGCATATATAGGAAATGGAGGAATGTTCTTTTTAAAAACTGCTTAATCCAGAATTTTTAATATATAATTTAATATATCTGTATATATATATATATCATACATACAGAAGTCAAACTAGCATTCTTGGACTCAAATAAGCTTCCCAATTTCTGATAATAATTCATAAATAAGATTGTGGAAAGAGTGCTTGTAATTATTTAAAGAATAAGATTCCCTTCAAGTAGTCTCAAAAGTTTCAAAAGCTTTAGTTATCTAAAGTGCAAATTCTAAATCATTCTCATTCATTATAGCAAGCCTCAGGAGGACCACTAAACTGATTAAATCTCTAAAAATCATGAAGTCGCTTTCTTTAAAATGGTCCACATTAAGATGCCTTTTGTTGTTCAAAAGACTTTTTCTAACAGATAATTTAAAAGAGAATATTGCTTTTATGTACCAAAATTATCTGAATTTCTGAGCAATGAGCAACAGACAATGAAAAATCTCTACACTGATTGTGATGTCCTCACAGCAGCCAGGAATACATCGGACTTTTATATGCTCTGGCATTCTTGAACACAAAAGCAATTGATGTGAATCAGAGTGGAAAACCGTTGTCTCTTGTTTCTTACTCCTTTTCTGCCTGGGGCTTCAAAGCATTTCTTTTAAAGACACATAACACAAAGCCCAGTAGTGAGGCAGGAGTGGATTTGCAGAAGGAAGGAAGGAAGGAAGGAAAAGATGTTCAGGAAGTCATTTTAGTGGCAGAAATTGGAACGTAAGTGAATTTTAAGACCATGCTGTATTATATATGTCATCAAATACATCCAGATTCAAGATGACTCTACTACTTACTAGACATGTGTCCTTGACCTTATTATTTTATCTCTCTGTGTATCTTTTTCTTTCTCTCTAAAACAGTAGGCTGCTGTGAGAGGTCATTATAAAAAGCAAATGAAGCAGTGCTTTTTGGAGGACAAATCACTGTTTCCTAACATCTACTAAGCACATAATATCAGTAGCTCTACCAAGAGGTCAAGATAGTAGAAGTCATTGCTTGTGCAGAGGTCTTGCATGGTGAAGGTCCCTTAGACCATAAAGAACACTTTTATCTACCTGACTCTGTCTCTCTGAACGTTAGAGCCTCACCTGTCTTTACGATATAACAAGGCTGTATCAGTGTCCATGTCTGCAAGATGAGGTCTTCTCTTTCAGATAGCCAAGTGACAGAAGCTAGGCAAATCAAGGTTCCTAGTTTACCTCTGTTTATTTCATTTGTAGTCTTAGTTTTATCCTCTCTGAGCCTTTTTTTTAAGCCTCTTTTTGTAGTCTTAGCCACTTATCCTCTCTGAGCCTCAGTTTCCTCATATTTAAGTGGATGATGATAATGCTAACCTTACAGACACCAGTGCATATGCAGAACATCAGAGGAGAAGCTTCATTGATGCCTATTATACTCTTGACACACTTAAAGCCCATTCAAGAGTATTTACATCCTTTAGAATCAGTTTCTCATTAATCACCCAGATCATGAAATAAAGCCTGGTTGCCTCTTTTCATCTGCGTTTTTAAGCAGTCACTCCTAGAATTCAACAGAAGACTTGTATAGCCATTTGTATGGTCAGAAGTTTGGACTTTTAACTGGTGATGGAGTCTTTCAAGTTCTACCTGATACTTGACTCAGTTTTGACTTGATAATATTCTTCAGTTTGAAAAAACCATCTCTTACAAGAAATGTTGTTGTTACATGGTGTCAAGTCATAATAAACCCATAGCTGACCCTCCAGTGGGTTTTCAGAGACTATAAATTATACAGGAATTGATTACCCATCTTTCTTCCTTGAAGTAATTGGTGGATTCTAACCATGTGCCTTTGAGTTGGCAGCACAGCTTCTTAGCATTAGGCCACCAGAGCAACCCTAACAAGAAATAGTCCAATCAGTAATTGTTGAGACTCACTCACCACCCAATAAATTGAATAAACACCCAATGATATTTATTTTTGTGTGGAGCATAATGGTTCCTTGGCATTTACATGCTTTGCCCTGTCCCCTGGAATCTCACCTCTACCTGCTCTCCTCAGTCTCTCTCCGTACACACATACAAGGCACATTGTCAGGCTTATGGACTACACCTTACAAGAGGTTGATAAATTTAGTATTTGTAGTTTCAAACTTATGTGTGCTCTTTTCAAAGAGATGCAATAAGAACTTTCTTTTATATGGTTACTATGTGTTTTCTTGCCTTTTCCAGGGAAGACAGAAGCCTATTTGGAAGCCATCAGGAAAAATATTGAATGGTTGAAGAAACATGACAAAAAAGGAAATAAAGAAGGTATGAATTTAGTGTGACTCTACATTTCAGGCATCCTCTATTTGTTACTTATTCACTCATTGTTGAGTTAAAAAGCAGCACATAATTCATCTTCCGGCAGGTTTTCAGAGGCTGTAAATCACACAGGAGGAGATTGCACATGTTTTTTTCCTATGGAGCAGCTGGTGGATTTGAACTGCCTGCCTTTATGTTGGCAGCACAACTCCATACCCAAGATTCATACAGTCACATTGACTTGGCTTAAAGTATCCTCTCAGAGTTTAAAATGACTCTCAGGTGCAGAAGGAAGAGAATCTCACTTTGCCATTATTTTCCAAATCAATATTTCAAACAAAAACTTTTTTCTTTTGCATTTTATGATGAAAATTGTCAAACAAAAGTAGAGAGATTAGTATAATGAATTTTCAAGGACCCATCACCAATTTTCAATTATTTACGAACATTCTGCCAATCTCATTTTATCAACAGGTTGTTGAGAACTAATTCCATCCAATTCATGGTAGCCCCAATTGTGTTAGTGTAAAACTGGGCTTCTTCACTTTCTAGTGGCTGTTGTTCCTTTGAAGTGGCTGATTTTAAGAAGTAGATTGCTAGGCCTTTCTTCTAAGAGGCTGTTGAGCTTGAACTTCCAAACTTGTAGTTAGAGGTCCGACCGACATTTGTATCACACATCTTTTCTTGGAGTATATTTTAAACAGAAGCATTTTCAGAATACTAATTAGGTGTGTTCCCCCAATTGTATTAGGAGAGTCCACAGGTATGAGTTACTTTATAGCCAAAGTACCTAGAGTCTTGTTTACTTACTATTGTTCTTATTAGTACAGCATCTGTCAGTCATTTTGCTATACTGATATAATTTGTGGGTTGCAATGATGCTGAAAACTATGCCACCAGTGTATCAAGTGCCAGAAGGGTCACCCATGGTGAACTGGCTTTAGTAGGATTCCCAGATTAA